TCCCTGCTTCCTTCCCTGCTTCCTTCCTTCCTTCCTTGCTTCCTTCCTTGCTTCGTTAATTATTTTCGCTGTCTCTCTCTCTCTCTCTCTCTTTCTTTCTCTCTGCATCTGTCTTTGAGGGTCCGGCTCACCCCTGCTCGGGGTTCATCCTCACCCCTGTTCGGGGTTCATCCACACCCCTGCATGGGGTTCTCACGACCCCTGTTCAGGGTCCAGGCTCACCCTTTTCGGGGTTCATCGGACGCCCCTGTGCGGGGCTCTAACGACCCCTGTTCGGGGTCCCAGCTCACCCCTGTTCGGGGTTCATCCACACCCCTGCACGGGGTTCTCACGACCCCTGTTCGGGGTCCATGTTCACCCCTTTTCGGGGTTCATCGGTACGCCCCTCTGCGGAGCTGTAACGACCCCGACCCCTGTTCGGGGTCCAGGCTCACCCCTTTTCGGGGTTCATCCACACCCCTGCACGGGGTTCTCACGACCCCTGTTCGGGGTCCAGGCTCACCCTTTTCCGGGTTCATCCCGCAGCCCCTTCAAGGGCTTGGTGCGGGTACGCCCCTGTACGGGGCTCCGAAGACCCCTGATGTGGCGACCTGACATCCTGACAGAGCCTGCACGAATGCCTAATCACAACTACTTTTGCCTGTTACCTTTAAACCTCTTTCCTGATCAATGCCTCCTTACCTACATGCCCGCCTACCTAGCTATCTATCTACCTACCGACCTGGAAGCCTGCCGGTGCACCTAGACCTACAAGTACCTCCCTCCTGCCTATCTACTTATCTATACCTACCTGCAGGAGTGGGTGGGCGGGTTTGGGGGTTGGGTGGGATTACAGTTTAGGGTCCAGGGTTTAGGGCATGAGCTGGACGTTACGAAAACTTAGAGTTTAATCATGAACACACACGCTAATTTTCAAGTCGTTGTGAATCGTACAAAAAGCTGACTTTAGGGTTTCAGAACACAAAATCTCAACTTTCTTGTTTTCGTTGAGCCACAAGAACACCAAGTTGCATTTGTTTGGTTTGCTCGGCACAAACGAATCTTCAAAATAACTTCAAAAATATCTTGCAACAAAGAAATTCCATGTGAACTACAAAACTTGGGACAGGCAAATATTTCAGTATGGCTTTGATTTTTCGATGTACATGTTTTCACATTTCGAACAAACCAAGTTTTTCAGGCATTGATTTTTCTATTGAGCCACAAGCACACATCTTTTTATACATGTCCAGCATCTCGCTCTTTCCATAGAGCCACAAGAACACACATGACGTAGGCCCAATGTTGCTGCAGTAGTTGCATTTGTTTTCCGTCCTGCCCCCCCCTTCAGCACGACATCAGACATGTTGCTTTACGTGTCCTATATACACGTGTTCTTACATGTCCATCATGTCAGCAACACGTGTCCTATATACACGTGTTCTTACATGTCCATCATGTCAGCAACATAAATCCTAGGACCCGGTTCCATAACGGAAAGGACCCGGTTAGCCCCGGACTGGCATTACTACTACTACTACTACTACTACTACTACTACTACTACTACTACTAGTACTAGTACTAGTACTAGTACTAGTACTAGTACTAGTACTAGTACTAGTACTAGTACTAGTACTAGTACTAGTACTAGTAGTAGTACTACTGCTACTACTACTACTACTACTACTACTACTACTACTACTACTACTACTACTACTACTTCTACTTCTACTTCTACTTCTACTTCTACTTCTAGTTCTACTTCTACTTCTACTTCTACTTCTACTACTTCTTCTTCTACTTCTATCACTACTTCTTCTTCTTCTTTTCTTGTTGTTCTATTGCTATTCGTACTATTTCCAGAGCAGGCGCGTGAGGATGAACCGAGCCTTGCCAGCCATGCCTCAAACTCAATCATAACCGCTGCATCTTGGATCAAGCTCCCAAAGCAAGCTGACGTTGTGTTGTACTTGTGTTTGCGGTTCTGTCTTGCTGCTGCTCAACGGCGCTGATGCTGCCGATGCCCTTGATCGCGGTGCAGTTTTGCTTCGACCTGTTTCCGACCCTAGCATTTTTCTTTCTTCTTCTGATGCTCTAAGGTCGCCCTGCTGTTGTTGATTGCGGTGCCTCTTCATAGCCTGTGGTGCGTAGATGCATTGAGCTGAGACTGTGCTCAGGTGATCCTGTTCCTGTCCCTCTTCGCATCTTGCTTCCGCGGATGTGCAGCTTGACCATCATCCAGTTTGATGTAAAAGACACCCTCCTCTTGACGTCTTAGCTCAGGTCAACGGGGACATCAACATCAGCGAGAACACGGAACGCCCAAAGCTCGTGCTGGAGGCTCCTTGGAGATGACTCTTGCGAGGCGTAGCACTGGACAATGGAACGTCCCTTGCATGGGACATGGGAGGCCTCAACATTGCTGACGCAAGCGAGACATGATGGCCAAGGTCTCGAAACCTTCCGCAGCTGCAAGCAACTGTTGCAGAGTAATCCCTTCCCCCTAATATCACATCTCTCCCTCATATAAAATAATTCTTGCGGGGACCCCTAATATCAGAAATGGTTCCCAAGACTATTTCAGAAGGGGCAAGACAACATTTAGAAAGGCAGCAGTAAGGGAGAATCAAGGAACCCTCAGCCCTCCACCATAACCATTCAGAATGGTATTAGATTATTAGAGATAAATAATACCCCCTAATACAAAACAGTTCCTTGCCCGTTGCAATTTTTTGTATTACGGGGGGGGGGGGTTCTATATTAGGGGGGAGCGATGACCGAACGGCTCAACGGCCCCACTGTCTGCAGGGCTGGATTCCTCAACCTTGATGCCGCCATCTTCGGAGCTGGCCAAGGTGTCCGCCCGTGGAGGTGTCGATTGAATCCTTGCTTAGTGTAATGCAAGACTCCAAGACACGCAGTGAGAGGATGGTCGATGTCAAGCACGGACACCATGCGTGGCGAGCAGCTCCGGGCTGCTCTGCGCTTGCAACGAGAGGCGCCAAGCTCGTGGAAGGGCATTAACTTATGCTTTGTGCGTGTTACCGCACAGGCGGTGCTGCGCCGGTCAGCCGCTGAGAGGCAGATTCTGGGGCCTCTTCTTGATGACTGAGTGTTGGAGCGGCAATCGGTATGACGGCATAAAACAGCATGGGTGCATAATTATGGGCGCCGTCACTTGCCACTTGCCCTTCATGACAGTGGCACTGAATCCACCTCCGTCTCCTGTCCTGTCCGCTTCACTCTGCTCGTCTTTTTCCTTCCCACTTCTTTTTCCTTCCCACTTCGCTCCTTGCCCTTTTCTATGCTCGCAGTTGTTTTTCTGTATTGGCTTAGTGCTCACCAAAGCAGCATATGCTTCATGTGAGGGCCGAAGATTGGATACCGATTCATGTCATGGGCCACAGTGCTTGACAAGGTGCTGCCGAACACGCGAATACGCAGCTACCCGGACCCTGCCCTGCAGCATCGCCTTGGGGACCCCAACAAGACTCAGCATCCAAACGTCATACCAAAGCTGAAAGGTTTTGGTAATTAGGTAAGGTTCATGATTCTTTGACGATGTGTCTCCGTTATTTGAGAGCTGCAGCTTCAGCTAGTCCTTGCACCACAATGCAACTCCATCCCTGTTCAAGCACTTTGTACCTTGCAGACATACCCACATATCATATAGTATCATATAATGTACAGCATCGCATGTAGAGTTTATTGTAACACAATATCATATTGTACAACACAATATAATGTACCTGGTGGCACATGGATTTCGCAGCTAGCTTGAGCTTCAAAGCACCAGGTCAACGCATAGAGATTTTTCGTTGCAGTGACGAGCCAGCGGAGCGCTATAGGCACATACAGTAGATTCTACCATAAGCCTGCCATGGAGTTCTTCAGTTGGTGTTGCGCAGCCATGTGCGGTATCCCGCCGTAGCCGACCAAGCTTGCACTTGCCCAGCACTCGGGTGCATTGTGCTTCTGAGTCTGTAAGGAAATCTCCGGGCCGCTTGATGCAAGCGACGAGAAGCGATACGCTGCCTGACTTTGGCTACTCCGTGGGCAAGGCTTTCTTGAAGTGAGTAAACGCATAATTCGTGGTCCATGGTGTGGGACGTCTTGTTTATGTGGCGGGGCGGTTGCACGCAGGCCTCCGCCATCTGGGAGGATTCCGGGTGTCGGTCTGAGAAATCAGGCAAAGCGTGCCCCCAAAGCATGAACTTCACAGCTGTGGCTGTGGTGTTCATTTGCTAAGGTCTCTTGAGGATGCAAGCTGGCATCCTTTGGCTGGGCTCCAGGCCTGCTATGCGTTTCAGGTTGCGGAAATGCCAGGGGCAGATAGCGCGACTGCCAAGCAGAGGAAGTGGACTGCGAAATTGGGGGGCTTGAAAGGGCTCCCTCCCCACTTTGGCACCGCCGACACGGATGGATTCAATTGCCTTCTTCCGTGTTTGCTTGCGTCCGGCTACCGCTACCACTTGCAAATAAATGCTGATACCATGCGCAACTCAAGCATGCAGGGTTAAGGGAAACCTGTCAGCTTGCCGTCAAGGCGTTTTAGAGTTTAGGGATTGGGGTGTAGGGTGCTGTGCGTGCAGGGCGCTGTGCCGACAACCCCAAAGAGAGGAAGGCGGGAATCTCCAGGCAGTTACCTTGTAGCTCCCTCCCCGTTCGAGACACTTGAGGCCTTCGATTGATACAGCCATACCGTCTCCAAACGATGTGTTGGAGGCCACGTGCATGTCTGTGTAAGCGCCTCGCGATATGTGATGTCTTGGTATTGGACGTGCATTGGCTGGCCAGCTGCAGTGGGCCGTTTTCACCAGGAGTGGGCCGATGATGCTGACAATTGTCAGGAGATCCGCCGCCTCTGGCTTAGAAAGCAGAGAGACATTTGTTAACATGTAAGGAGGACGAGTTAGATCTTGGATGGGGCGGTGAGGCGCACGATCCGAACCTCAATCAGCGTTGTATTCGATTCTCAGCGTGAGTCACAGCGCAGCTGCAGCTCCGCCTTCAGGATGCGATGCTGGGGAACGACACAATCATCGAGCGTGTTGGGGCGCTCCCAACAACTCCCCGTAGGCCAGAGCGTGGCTTTGCTTCTTGAGTATCCTAGCGCGTTGCCTTGCCAAAGGCGCTTCGAGGCGTTGAAGGCCCGACCAGTGAACATGGGTTTGGGCAGCAGAGCGACTTGATGTAGAAGGTGGTTGTTCGCTTCTGCTGATGTAGCCTCGCTGTGCTCCTTGCTGGCGTGAGCCCTGTATGCTGGCTGCCCTTGTGATGAAAGCAGTGTGTCAATGCGCCTCGGACCCCTCGCTGGTTGGGGTGGATATGGTTGGGCTGGGTATGCGGGAATTTCTAAACCCTCCATCAAGCGGCTCAGCGCTTCTAGTCAGAGCACAAAAGCTCCGAACAGCTAGAGGAGAACTCAAAAACGACACCCCCAGAAGCGCGACTTGGACGGTTGGGAGCACGTGGAAAGTGTCCTGAAAGCCGAAAAGCGATCCGTGCATCCATGGATCCATCCAGCCAGCCATCCAGCCATCTATACAACACACACACACACCAGACTTTACATTAAATTACACAGCATGACACGACACGACACGACACGACACGACACTTACATATATACATGAGCCGACCTGATCTGACCTGACTTGACATGACATGACATGACATCACTCACTCACTCACTCATTCACTCACTCACTCGCTCACTCACTCACTCACTCAGACGGACAGAGACAGACAGACAGACATACAGACATACATGCATACATACATACATAATCATACATAATCATACATACATGCGTGCATACATACATACAGACAGACAGACAGTCATACAGACAGACAGACAGACAGACAGAGAGACAGACAGACAGACAGACATACATACACACTCATGCAGACATACATGCACACATACATACATACATACATACACACACAGACATACATACATACATGCATGCATGCATGCATGCATACACACACATACATACATACATACATACACACACACACACACACATACATACATACATACACATACATACACATACATACATACATACATACATACATACATACATACATACACACACAGACATACATACATACATACATCCATGCATGCATGCATACATTCATACATACCTACGTACATATGCACGTACGTAAGTATCGAAGCGTCGCAAGGTGACCAGTTCATCAAGCTTTTTTAAAGGAGAGTTTGAGCAACTTGCCCTGCACAGTGCTGTGGCTTAGCCTAGTCTTTGTTAAACGACCTTAAGTACAAGGTAATACAGCGGAATCTGTAGTAAACCGATAGGATTTCTTGATTGGGGTAAGACCCAGAAGCGCTGTGGCTTAGGGTCCAGGGTTTAGGGTTCGAAGGTTCAAGGATCGCTGAGCCCAAGCTGGATTGATGCTATTGGGCATATATTTATACCATAGGACATATAGTTCCAAAACGAAAGCCCAGTAAAGCTCTTCATGTTTCCGATGTATCCCTTGGGTCTGCCAGGAACCCAAGCTCTAAGTGCACAAAACTCTACCCCATGCAGGCAGCATTTTATTTTGGGATAGTTTGGTCCCCAATACGGAGTAGGACTGTGATTATGGGTTTGGTATCGCAGAAGAAGAAAGGCCCAAAACCCTAAACCCTAAACCTTAAACCAGATGTTCTCAGAGTCTTGAGATGCTTCTGGAATTGAGGCTTGCGAACATATTTGTCGCGAGATACCTCGCCGCAGCTCGGCTTAGGGTTTAGGGTTTAGGGCGGAACCCTAAACCCTAAAACCTAAACCCTTTTCAGATGTAGGGGTAATCACAACCCATACAACTTACAACCCCGCATTATAACTGGCAATTTTGGTGCTGCTTGGGGAAACCTCCAATTGTCCAATATTTTAGCACCATTGCCGGATACGAAATGCACAGAAGACTTTGGATTGGGGGTTTTAACACTGGGGAGATGGGATTAACTTGAACGCCGCCGCTCAGAGCGAACTTGGGATTTAAATGGCTGATATAAGAAGTGGCCCTTTGCTGTTGTTGCCTGAGGTTAGCGACGCCACTTCGTTCCGAGTTGCCTGCAGAGCGATTCGAGAATGTCTTGATGCACAGGCCAGGTGCAAGAGAGCTAGATTGAGTAGAAGTTGCAGCTGAGACTCGTGGGGTTTCCGTACTTGGCAACTGTTGCTTGTCAGCTCGCGTATCTGCAAACAGGCTGCTTCACCGACTAATTCAAACGGCAGTCACTCCAGTTTGGACAATGCCATGGTTCTGGGCCGTGGAACCTTTGGTACTGTCTACCAGGTCACATCTTGCTTGGCAGTAAAGGTTCTCCCAGCAACTCTGGACGCCTATGTTGAGATCGACATATTGCAAAGCCTGCACCATCCAGGCGTGCTGCGCATTTTAGCTTCCAATTCGCTTTCCGGGTATAGGTCGCATAAAAGCCTGTATATCCCCATGCAAACCCTACAGCCTTTAACTTTGCTGCATTCAGGCGCGTTGGGCGTGTATGATTTTTGGGAGCGGGACAGCTACCTTTACATCGTCATGGAGCTTCTCATTTGCGATTTGGGGAATGTCGCAAAGCCATGCGCCGAACCCCGGGTTCGGCATGTTATGCAACAAGTCTGCGACGCAATGGCATACTGCCACAACCAGGGCGTCATGCACAAGGACCTAAAACTCAGCAACATCATGCTCGCGTCAGCTGACCCCCCCAAAGCCGTGATTATTGATTGGGGCATCGCCGAGCGGGGCGGTTTTTCCACACGCTGGGGCGGCACTCTGGAAATTATGGCGCCAGAGGTTATTGGGCAACAGTTTACCAGCAAATGTGACGTATGGTCGCTGGGCTGCGTCATGTTTGCCCTGCTCTGCCAGCGGCCCTTCCGTGTTCCAACGCCATGGTATTACCCCTTTCCCTTACCCGAGGATGGGGCAATGCACATTGCGCAGTTGGAGCGGGGAGCACAGTGCGGAAGGTTATGTGCATCGGCTAAGGCAAAACAGCTTGTACGGAAGATGCTGACTTTTGACGACGCCAAACGGCCAAGCATGCAAGACGTGCTGGCTGATGACTTCTTCTCTGTGCCAGCTGTTGGCGTGCAAGTGAGCCGGTGCTTCGTGGTGGTGCTGCTGCTGGTTGTGACTTGGTTGTGCATTTCCAGCCATCACACGCACACATGTCATCGAGTGAAGCGGTCAAGAAACGCGTAATTATGTTGTTTCCGTATGTACACTATAAAGTAACTTGTGTTGCCTATGCCATGATCCCGACGCAGAGCCGACCCAGTGAAATCACGCATGCTCATATATGGTTCAGACGTTCTTATTGAGAAATGCAGCAAGGTGGTGTGCTTGCGAAGCCGCGTGTGGCCCCTAACAAGTAACTTTGCCTTCCAAAAGCCACAGGCGCTCCTCCGGAGACCCCATGCAGGTATGCCTGATTGGGCTTTGCTTTTCCGGCTTCCTCCACGGCAGGTTGGTGCCTTGCCTGCAGTCAGCGCCAGGGGTGGTCGGCGTGCAAGACCTTGCGGCAAATGCTATTTGCACCCTTGCGCGGGGGTCGGATAATTCTGGCTGGTTGACTATTGGTTTCGTAGCATGTATACACCCGCGGTTTGCGCCACGAAGTTCGCAGCCGCTCATTTCCCGTTCGTATCATCAGTGGACAGACTATGACACGGACTGCTTCATTATTTCATCAGTTCCCAGACCTCTCCGTCTCCGCCCTTGTCTTGAGACCAAGGCCAACTTCGACAACCCGATGGCACGCATCGCCCACAGCTGCAAGCAACATATACTCTTGCGACCGCCTCCCTGGAAACGCTCCTTTCCTGGGCGCGTGGTCATTTGAAGTTGTTGCCTTGCACGCACGCCTTGCCAATCTGAGCTTTGTGCTGTTGTAGATATCCTGCGGCCAAACGAGGGCGAGTTGGTGATCTCGCTTGGTGCAAGGCTCTCCGTCCTGAGCCTCGTCGGAGGAGTGGATGTGTGCCCGTGCGGACATTGGCCTCAGTGCAATCAGCAGCGTGGAGCTCGATGCGCTGAACCGCTATGGCTGCTATGGCCACACTTTGCGGGGCATGCCTGGCGCGCAAAGTGTTCCTTGCAGCTACAAGATGCCAAGCGGTCCTGAGTTCTTCCACCGCCGCAGTCCCTACGACGAGTCTAGCACCTGCCACGCTTCTGGGCGCCAGGGGCTGAAAAAGGGTACATACGTGCTGCTAAGGATTCCGAGTCTTTCTCTATTCTGTGCTGTGTTTTCGGCTGTATTGGTATTAATCGCTTCCCGCTAAGTCTTTACACCCCCCTCCCCTAGATCTAGATAATGCGGTGCGGCAGGGTCCCTCTCTGTCGGCTTATGCCACTTCCTTCAGGTTTCTGCTTGGAACAGCCCTGCATCGGTCACTTGAGCATGCTCAGGTCAGCAAAAGCACGGATCGCGTCACCAAAAAACACTGCTCTCGTCACCATAAACCCGAACCATGTCACTGACCTGACCTGCGAGCCCTATGAACTTGCGAACGTGACCCCAAGCAAAGCGCTGTCTACTTGCTGCCTTTCACAGCCGCCGACCATTTTTGCGCCATGTGTTGGGTCATCGGGGGGGGGGCAACAGGCTAGGTTGGGTGAGGTCAGGTGTGGTTGGGTTGCCTGCCGGGGAGTTCAGCGGGACCGGGGAGTTCAGCCCCATAGGGGATTTGGTCAGGTCCTCCAGTAGAGGAAATCAGGTTGCATTGGGGTTAGGTCAGGTCGGTTTGGTTGTCCTTCTCTGTTTCGGGGACATGTTCTGTCTGGTTGGGTCCAAAAAGCTTGCAGTGGTTGCTGCGATTTCCTGACAGGTTAGGTTGGGTTAGGTCAGGTGTGGTTGGCTTGCCTGGCGGGGAGTTCAGCCCCATGAGGGGAAGTGGTTAAGCTGCAAGCTTTTAAACTCGAGGCGCCCCGTGTCATGCACTCTCCCGTCACGGTCTACAACGTAAACTACTTCTGTTTGGGGCCCCGCCGCCGAAAATACTTTTCACCGCGCGCGCGGCCTGCGCAAGAAGGACCCGAACAGGGGCAACTACGTCTTCGTGCCCAGGGTCACCGCCGACCTCAACCAGGTGACGGAACCCTTCACCTTCCGCCGACACCTGGAACCGTGGAGTCCACGGGCGAAGTGGAAGCGTGGCAGCGGCTCCACGCCACGCTGCACGCCGGCGCCCACCCGGGCGCCAGCCCGCGGACCTTCACCCTCCATGCAAGCCCCGGAGGAGACGCTGGCAGACCTCCCCGGCTGGCGCACTTTCTGGCTGCGTTTCCTGGCGAAGACCATCGACAGGACGGACGTCTCCGGGAGCGCCATCAACGCGGCGGCCCTGGACGTCGCGCTCACCTCCTGCCCAGAGAACCCAATAGTCCATTCAGGAAAGCGCCTCTAAACATTCATCTTTAATTAGAGTTTATAGTCCTTAAATTCATAGGCCTTAATTAAGGTCTGTTACCTTCCTTAATTAAGGTTCATTATTTCTATATATATTTTATATACACATATACATATTTTCTTCTTTTTGCACATGCATGCATGCACACAGGAGAGTTATTGTATGCTCTCCTATATATACGCATGTCCACACATGCATCATGCATGCATTGCAAAATTTTTGTTGCCATGTTTTGGGATGCATGCACTGCATGAGACGGACTTGAATGCACGTTCGACACATTAGATTTATGTGTTGTCTTTTTTTTTTCGGCTCAAGCTCCGGGCACGTCTACGGAAAGGTCGACCACAAGAAGACCACCGGACAGAGTTTTTGCCCTTGCAAGCATGGTTGCAGAGGAGATAGTGCTGCATTGCTCTGCTGGAAGTTTGCTATTATTCTGCGACTTGCATGTATACAGGATCGCTCAAGATCGAGATCGCCACGGCCTGTTCGCTTGGAATGGCGATGGTGTTGGAAAAGCTTTTGGCTCGGAGAGACGCAGCGACTTTCATGCAGACGGTTTTAATCGACATGCACGTGTTGAAACATGTTTTATTGTTTGCGATCGATTTAATGCAAGGATTTGGTACTGGATATGGTGGAGGCATCCCCGTGATTGAGCCTGCAACACCGGTGCAACCTAGATAATTCGGTTTTCCATGCGGGGGCCAGCGAGCTACACCCACGGACTCTTGAACATGTGCAGCAGGTCGATCCTGAAGGGATCGAACTTGCAACCATGGAAGGAAAACGAAGGTGCAAGATCGCGAGTGCATGCTTGAACTGGGTATATATATGTTTTGTTGCACGCCTGCAATTTTTTTGTTTCGTTTGTTTGAGCATGCTTTAACCTAGCTTTTTCGGCTCAAGCAAGCTGCTTGTATAACTCGATCGATCAATCGATCCTCCTTTTCCTTCAGGAGGACTAGTCATGATGTCGAAGCCAACCGCCAGCCCTACCAAGCCCCGGGCTCGGAACACCGCCACCGATGAGCAGGTAAAGAAGATTCTCAGGAGCAACCTCAGCAACCTGGGCACGGCTTACAAAGAGACGGACATGGAGCTGATCGTGGCAGGCTATGAATCCTTCATAGTCGATTTTCTCAAGGTCTCACCAAGGCTGGTAGCGAAGCAGCTCAGCCGTTGTGCGGCAAAGGTCTTTGAAAAAGAATCCTCGGCGGACGTTGATATGTTCGCCCGCCAAGTTGCGTATTCGCTGAGCTATGTTCGCATCAAAATGAAAGCCGTGACGTCTGGCAAGAAGACTCACCCGGCTATCAAGCGGGTCTGCGAGTGCTTGCAGAAGCTAGATGCAGATGAGCTTCAGCAGGATCGCCTGAGTTCGCTTCGCAAGAGAGTGCATAGCCCAGACAGGTCTGCGGGCGGCATGCACATGTGGAAAGGGTGTGCGAATATAAAGGCGAAGGCCAGTCCTGGCAAGAGGCACAAGTCTCAGTCGTCTCGAGATCCTAGGCCAAGCAAGACAGGCACGACTTCGACTTCGGCATCCACGTCTGCAGACATCTATGCCATGTACGGTATCTCCCGTGGTGCTGAGGAAGCCTTGTCGAAGACGGCTCCTGCATCGCCCGCAATCTCGATCGCTAGCTGCAATACAATTCACAGCTCCGATGGCGAGCCTGCGGAGGATCTCGAGACCGCACCCGCAGAGGAGGCTTCCGGATCCTCGGGGATCACATTGCAGTACTTTTGCAAGGCCTCCTGCAAGTACATCACTCGGATGGCGGACGGCACAGAAAAGCGGCATGCTGTGTTCAAAGGACCTGAAGGATTTCTCAAGACCAAGGTCTTCGGCAAGCTCAAGGACCTGGATGTGCCCAACTTGTTCCTGCAGACCTTCGAGAATGCAGCAGGCCGTGGTGGCATCTCCAAGATCATGAAGCGGCCAGCCGCTAAGAAAACGGCTAAGAAGGCTCCTGCTAAGAAGGCTCCTGCTTCTGCCGGGTCTGCATCTGCAGATGGCGAGGCCGAGGAGCCCGAAGAGCCCGAGGAGCCTGAGCTGTCCACACCCCCGCCCAAGAAGCCAGCGACTCCGAAGTCCAAGTCCTCGCCGAAGCCATCCCCGAAGTCCGCAGCGAATCCATCCCCGAAGGCCGCAGCTACCCAGGCTGGCAGTCCGAACAGGGACAGTCTCATGTGTGCCTCCGTCCACTACATCATGGCTTCCGATCGCACTTACATCACCGGCAAGTTCGGTCCAACCAAGGCCTTGCTCATCGAGATCCACTCAAGGAAGTCCGACAAGCATCGGGATCTGGTCAAGGAGCTTTTCCTCGAGGCTGAGCGGCTTCATTCGACTACCCCCTGGGGTGAGCTTCGTGAGCTGATGCGGAACCGCCGTGAGGAGGTCCTCCAGCGGCAGGCTGAGTGATAGCTTGATCGAGGGATGCCAGGGCCCAGCCCGGTTTTGCGGAGATCGATGCAGCTTTGGGCAGGTTTTGAGGTTGATCTTGCCATCGGTTTGAAACAAGTGTGTGTGTGTGTGCACGTGTTTGCATGTCTGTGTGTGTTTTTTTGTGTACATGTGCATGTGCATGTTGGCAATTTTGGCATGCAGAGGAATGCTTTGCGAGGCTCCTTGCATGATTTCTGGCACGAGTTAAGCATATATACATAATATGTAGCTATATATATATATACATAGAAATTTCTCCTGCAGCCCTTTTCATGTGTCCAACCTTGCCCTCAGGCCCGGCTTGCTGTTTTCTTCTTAGCTATGCATGCATCGACCTTTAAAAATTTTTGTCGCATGAAACTCCTTGCAGGTGATGGGGCCCATCGAGATGATCTTCGAGGTTTATCTGCATGGCATGCACGAGGACTGCCAGTGCTTAATGTTTGCATCTGCATGTTTTCGAAGAGCTAGGCATGCAGGAGTGGCAGTGCTTGAATGTTCGTGTCTCCTTTGAATAGGAAGGCATGAGCACAGCATGCGAGCCTCCTGAGATCGCGGCTCGAGCGACAAAAGAAGTTCGATCCAATATCTTCTTGTGCGAACAAGCATGGGTGCCGCCCAGTCGACAACGGGTAACAACAACCCGGCGAGCTCTGGCAACACCAATAACACCCCAGCCCCCATCGTGATCCAGCTACAGCTGGGAGCAGAGCAACTCTCCGCACTCACCGGAGCTGTTGCCCCAGGGGTTCACGTGCATGTGCCCCCCAGTGGGTCGGATGCTGCAGCAGGCGGAGCTAGCACGACTCCAGGAGCTGCCCCCCATGGTGCTCCTCCGGTACCGTTTCCGCCTCCCCCGCCTCCAGCGGAAACTGAGCAGTATCTCAGGTGGTGCAACCGCTGCAAGCAGCAGAGCTACTTCAGGGAGGGCATCTGCCTGAACGAATGGTGCTCCGTGCCTTGGCTGCATTA